GTTAGTTATGTTAATCCTATTGGCTGAAAGAAAGTTTTTGACAGTTAATAGTCAACTAATAATCAGTTAATAGAATTAACAGTCAGTTAACAAAACTAACAAAATATTACAAAATGAGGGCTATTTTCTTCAATTTTAATAAATGAGGGGCTAAAAGTGTCATAATATAAGGTGAGAGGGCAAAAAGTATCATAGTATAGGGTGAAGGGCTAAAACCCACAAATCTAATAAAGTGAGGGGTTCAAAATGTCATAGTATAAAATGAGGGCCTAAAACTTTCAAACTTGACAAAGTGAGGGATTCAAAATAAGCTTTTACCTATTTAAAGGAAGTCTAGTTCGCGTAGAGTATTTTAATCTTTTATACTCTAACAATTTCTTGTGTTAGATACAATTTGTATTTGAATCTTACTATCATGAGCATGTTGCCATCATTATCACAAGGATCGTATTAGCGTAAGGATTTTGACTATAATCACTTCATTATCTATTTTAACTTATTTGGTTAAGGTGAATCATTGTAATGTGGTTGCATGTTGCAAGGTTACAATTCATGTCTTCTATGGCTTCATTACTCTTCCCCTGTATGCACTTGTGACACAAGGGAGCAAACTTGATTCACAGGTTTTTATAGCAAAAAAATTAAAAATAAAACATCCTCTTCTTTTTGACAAGAAAAATACAATTTTTCAATTTGAACTTCATACAATTTTAGTCGTAAAAAGTATGGATATATCCTTAATGATTCTTTCAATATGCTAATTCATTAAGGGTTAAAAAAGGATTTTATTAACTGTGTTCTTGTTATTTTTTATTAGATGGGTTCAGACCAATGACTTGTTGGTCATAATAAAAGGAATTCAGTTTTTTCTTAAGTATGATCTCGAATTCGAGTTTTGTAAATGGAAGAACATGTGTTGGAAAAGTATCCCCTTATGGGGTTTGACATAGTTCAATTCCTAATTAATTGAAATTCAATGTGACTTTCAGATACCAAAAGGTTAGTACCAAAATAATTAGATGGGTTCAAAATTCCAGGGCAAAGTACTAGATGAGAAGATGGCCAAAATAATGAAGGAATGGCATGCAAGGGTGAGGAAGAGAAGGAAGAAATATGAACAATTTCTCCAATCTACTTGGACTTCTTTGTCCACTGATTGAAGCTCTAGAAGGGGTAACAGAGGAGAAATCACATAGGAACAACATCAAAAGGTGAAAAAGAGGCTACAACCTTATCTTTAGCGCCATCCTACCTTATCAAGATAGAATTGCCTATATTGAGGAGAGAGCAAATTGCGTAGTATAGGAATCCATACCCAATTAGGGAACATCATGCTACCTAAGTGTTTGTATTAATACCTCTGAGAAAAAAAAGAAGGTATTTTCTATTTTTTATATGAGATTGTACATATTGAAAAGGTCTAAGAGATGCATGGCATCCATATTAGAGATGGACCAAGATAGTGATTTAGCATGTAAAAAGATGTGGAGTTGGACGAATCCATTGTGAAGACCACATTCTTCTTTGTCCATGGTTCTAGCTCCACCACTTTCAATATTCCTTTACTTTAGCCTTTACTTATTACTTCTCTACCACCACAAATCCCCCCTTGAATTTTCAAGAGTCCTTGTCCCC